TTGCAAAGAAGCTGGGAGAGATGTGGAATAACACTGCTGCAGATGACAAGCAGCCTTATGAAAAGAAGGCTGCTAAGCTGAAGGAGAAATATGAAAAGGATATTGCTGCATACCGAGCTAAAGGAAAGCCTGATGCTGCCAAAAAGGGAGTTGTCAAGGCTGAAAAAAGCAAGAAAAAGAAGGAAGATGAGGAGGAGGAAGAGGAGGAGGAAGATGAAGAAGAAGACGATGATGAATAAGTTGGTTCTAGTGCATTTTTTTTCTTGTCTATAAAGCATTTAACCCCCCCGTACACAACTCACTCCTTTTAAAGGAAAAAATTGAAATGTAAGGCTGTGTAAGATATGTTTTAAACTGTACAGTGTCTTTTTTTGTACAGTTAACACACTACCGAATGTGTCCTTAGCTAAGCCCTGTCCTGGTGGTGTTTTCAATAGCCACTAACCTTGCCTGGTACAGTATGGGGGTTGTAAATTGGCATGGAAATTTAAAGCAGGTTCTTGGTACACAGCACAAATTAGTTCTATATGGGGATGGTAGTTTTTTCATCTTCGGTTGTCTCTGATGCAGCTTATACAAAATAATTGTTGTTCTGTTAACTGAATACCACTCTGTAATTGCAAAAAAAAGTTGCAGCTGTTTTGTTGACATTCTGAATGCTTCTAAGTAAATATAATTTTTTATTAGTAAAAAATAATTAAATAAAGAAAAACCTTGCTTGAAATCCAGGCAAAGAGTCTCTTCTGATGACATCCTAGATACCCGCAGGAAATGCCTGGTTAATTCTTTGAGAATAGGAGCTTCCTCAAATACCCAGAATCCCCTCTCAAGGGCTGTGGTCTATTCTACATGTAAGTAAAGCTAATCCTTCTCTGGACTCCTCAAATATCTTATGCACACTTAAAATATGATTTCTTATCACTGCATACAGTACAATAAAATCTAAACTATTGCCCTAGTTTTCCCACATTATGCAGACATCATCTGTTGTTATATGTTTTTTATATTTACTCATTTTTTTAATCCTCACCCGAAGATACGCTTATTGATTTTTTAGAGAGAGAGAAACATTGATGTGAGAGAGAAACATCAACCAGTTGCCTCCTGTATGCACCCTGACATGGGATTGAACCCCTGACCTATGTATCTAAACCATAATGTTTTGGTGTATGGGACGACGCTCCAACCAACTGAGCCACGCAGGTCAGGCTATTTATTCATTTTTATAGCCAACGTCTATTTAATTATTTACTTATGTGTATGTACTTATACCCCATTAAATTTTAGAAATGTTTGAAGAAAGTTATGAACTAGCGGGAGCAGAATATCACTTCTATTATGTATTCAATGAATTTTCCCCTTGCTGATAGATAAAAGGCTGGATGTACTTGTTTTCAGTATTTGAAGAATAAACTCTTTTTAGAATGGTGGTTTAGCTGAAGCAGTAGATACCTTATTTAATCTAAAAAAAATACCTTTGTCTTTTATAAACTTTATTTTGCAGCAATTATACATAAACAAACATAATAACATATACCCAAATATATTCAATGTACATTATTAACACCAAGGTGAAAATGCTGCATGGTAAATTAGTAGGCATTGAATACAATTCAGGAGAATTTTTCAAAGAGCTTGTGAAAAAGACAACTCTTCATTTAAAATGCTCAAGAATAGTCCCTAGCCGGTTTGGCTCAGTGGGTAGGGCATAGGCCTGTGGACCAAAGGATCCCGGGTTCGATTCCAGTCAAGGATGCATATCTTAGTTACAGGCACCTCCCCAGCCCGAGTGGGGCCATGTGCAGGAGGCAACCAATTGGTGTGTTTCTCTCATATTGATGTTTCTCTCTGTCTTTCCCTCTCTCTTCCACTCTCCCTAAAAATCAATGGAAATGTATCCTTAGGTAAGGATTAACAAAAAAAATAAAATAAAATAAAAAGTAAAATAAAATGCTCAAGAATAGCACCTTTAAAATAACCCAAGCCAGAGCAGGTATTTGTTAAGTCTCACTTCCATTTGCTTTCATCTTAAGCAGAACGCCCTTCAGCATTACTTTCAGAAAGGCTCCTTGCCTTTGTTCTCAGCATTTTTCTTAATTCAAAAGTAGATGTGAGGTCAATTGAGAAAAATGAACAGTTAGTGTTGCCAACAGCCCTGCAATTGGTGTTGCATGTCATGAATATGGTGAGGGGCTTGGGTCAAATGCCAATACGATATTCAGTCGACTATGGATTACTAATGTGGAAGCTATAAAAAGCTGTGTTTGCAAATGGAAAAACAATGAAGAAAAATCTCTGTATTGTCCTCTGTACATGCCCACTTTCCTAGGCCAAGTCAGAATGGCTGAATGGTCCATTCATCATTAACAGTCACCCCTTCCCTGGGCTTGCCTTCGAGAATTAGCCTCTGTGATCTGAGATGAGCTCTTGCTAGCTCCTGGGGCTCTGTCTTGATTTTCCTCTAAGGATGGAGTCCATCCCTCGCCTGCCTACCTGATTGCATCTTTTTTTCAAAACCTTTCTCATTCTATAGTCCCATCACTTCAAAACCACAACTTTCCTAAGCCATTTGTTTATGTAAAATAATAAATTACCACCTTTCTCCCTTCAAAGGCTACATAGCTCAGAAAACTAAACATGACAAAAAACAATGAAACTTATTTTTGCAACTCCAATCAACAGCCATTCTTTGTGTCTAATATCTAACACCACAACAGCAAAATGATGATGATGATGATGATGACGACGACGATAGTTAGGATAACAATACAATCACAATAACAAAACTCAGCAACCTGGTATGTTTGGTCTTCTTAGACTTTGAACTCTTAAATGGCAAGAATAGGACCCTTTTACATGCTTTCAATACAGTGAAAGTGTGCATGTGTTTGTGTGTGTGTGTGTGTGTGTGTGTGTGTGTGTGTGTATTCTGAGTTTCTATTGGGCTGTAAGATACTTGAGAATAAAGGAAGCTGGGTCTCCTATTCATTTATTTTTCACTTGACTGGCTATGACATTAGCATATGTATGTAACAAATTTATCTAAAGACTTCACTCTCTGTTACAAATCATCCTAAATAAACATTGAAGTCGTATTTTTTTCTAGTTGTTTTCTCTTGCAACATCATTGTCATACTTTGCCTGTCATATTAAAATAAGTATAACCAGACATCACCATTAATTATTAGCTTCCAACCAGTATCTTCATTCGTATCAGTCAGGGTAGGCTAGATAATGCTGTGATTTTAAAATTATTTCAGTGGCAGAAAATAACATGAATGTATTTATTGGTACAGGTTTATTGAGGATCATTTGGAAATTCTGCTCCAATATCTTCATTGTACTCATTCTAAGACCCAGACAGAGAGGCCAGTCTCTACCAGATATTGAGGTAAAGGAAAAAGAGAGCATGGAAGAGCATATGCTAGCTCTTAAGCTCTTAAACTCTACCAAATGGCTTTAAACCGCATTGGACAAAGCAAATCTCATGGCCACATCTGAATTTAATAGGTTGAGAAGTATAATTCTTCCTAAAAAGGAACACGGAATAATGTCAAACAATGACAAAGTCTACCACTACATTTAACTAGAGTTCTACCCTTTACACAGTGAATCCCTTTAGATGATGCCCCCACAATAGCCTTTCTTTGGCACACATCGTCCCCCATCTCAGCATCCTTGAGCTTCATCCTGTACTGATGTTACCTCCCATCCAGCCCTTGCTCCAGTTCCACTTGATCTTGGTCTGATCTCCTGCTTAAACCTTGTTGCCTCCGTTTGGCTTCCAGTATCAACTTAGATTTTGATGCCTGGGTTCATTTGATTACTTTAACTTCTGATCTCTTGGGTCCTCTTTTGGATTATGTCTTGTCTCCTTTCTAGCTCAGTACAATAAGACATTCTATTTAGCATGTTGCCCTTTGGACACAGCCCCAGACTCTGCATCTTTCGTAATGGGCAAAGTCACAGTCTGACACTTCCAGATCCACTCCCACACCCTGGCTCCTGACCAAATGGGTCAGGTATGGCACCCAACACCTCACAGGGGTCATACCATCCTAGGATACATAATATTATTATCCCAATTTTATAGCTACATAGACAAGATTTTGGAAGGTAAAATAATTTGCTGAGGAACACAAAGATCACACTTAACATATTTTTGTTCACCACCCACTCTTTTGTAAGGCCTGAGAGAAATAGATAGGACAGTATCTGAAAATAACCAAGGTTTGATAGGGGCCTCTGGAAAAAATAAGGACATTCATGTTTTCATGGGCAGGGAGGGTAGATGTGGACACAAAAGAGACTGCATCAAATCTGGAGTTTGAACATTGCCCCCTCTGGTCTGACCGTGGCCAACCCTTTCCCTAGATGCATGCAGAATAAGCATTTTAGAAGAGCAGCAACATTTCTTCTCAGGTGGAAGTGCTCATTTAGACTATGGAGACTCCACGAGGCATAAACACCATTAATGGTTTTCCTTCTTCGCTGTCCTCTGAGGGGAACATAAGCCTGACGAATTCCTGAGTGCAGAAGCAAAAAAGCTCCGCAGAGCAACCAAAAAACAAAACATGCTCACACCTAAAGTCAGTGTTTGTGATAGGGACTGGCCCGTTCACCTTCCCACGTGGATTTAAGAGTTTTGAGGTTAATAGGGGTCTTGAAGTGACCACTGTGTGGTGACCACTATTGAGCAGCTGAGTTCCCTTGGTCCTTGGCTACTTGCCCCTACCTCTTACATTTGGAAAGTAATTAAACATGGGCTAAGGAGACCCTAAGAAGCCGAGAGGCAAAATGTCATCGTATGCTTCCTTTGTGCAAACTTGCCGGGAGGAACAGAAGAAGAAGCACCAAGATGCTTCAGCTTCTCAGAGTTTTCTAAGAAGTGCTCAGAGAGGTGGAAGACCATGTCTGCTAAGGAGAAAGGGAAATTTGAAGACCTGGCAAAGGCGGACAAGGCTCGTTATGAGAGAGAAATGAAAACTTATATTCCTCCTAAAGGGGAAACAAAAAAGAAATTCAAGGATCCCAATGCACTCAAGAGGCCTCCTTCAGCCTTTTTTTTGTTTTGTTCTGAGTATCACCCCCCATCCCCCAAAAAAGGAGAGCATCCTGGCCTATCCATTGGTGACGTTGCAAAGAAGCTGGGAGAGATGTGGAATAACACTGCTGCAGATGACAAGCAGCCTCATGAAAAGAAGGCTGCTAAGCTGAAGGAGAAATATGAAAAGGATATTGCTGCA